GCGCGCCCCCGCAGGCGCCGGGAACGCGCAGCAGCCGCCTCGCGGGTCGCGGGCCGGCGCCTGGGCATCGGGCTCCGGGCTGTGTCCGCGCCGTCGGCCGCCAGGCCTAGCGCACGCCACCCCGTCCCCCGGGAATGGACTGCACTGACCCAGTGGGACGCTCTAGTCCAGCCCTCTCTCCACCCGGACGCAAAGTGGACTAGAGTGCTGTGGATTCTGGATCATAGCGACGCTGTCAGATGGACTAAAACTCCCCGAAAAGGCTCCCCAAGCTGCGATCTTATTGGGAGCAGATCGCCAGCTCTTTCCAGTTTAGGAGGTGGTGGGAACCGTCTACCTTCGGATGGCCCTCTGGTGTCCTAGTGGTAGGAAGCTGCCCTGCAGTCTTAAAGGCTCGGGGTTCAAAGCCACCTGCTGCTCTGCGGCAGAAGGATGGGCAATCTGAGCAGTGTGATCTACTGCCAGCAACCCTTCAGACAGCTCAGGGTTTACCTCCTGAGCCACCAGCTCCCCCGGTCGGGTCAAACCCATGACTGGGTGCTTGTTGTTCTTATGTGCTGTCGAGTTGTATGCCACTCATAGCAATGCCAATCTTTTTGTCTCCAACACACCTACCCCAGTCACTGACAATCCATCTCATCGAGGGTCTTCCTCTTCCTGCGCTGTCCCTCCACCCTTCCAAGCATGACGTCCCTCTCCAAGGACTGGTCCCTCCATCATACCCAAAGTATGTCAGATGAAGCCTCAGAGTCCTTGCCTCTGAGGAGCTGCCTGATTTCACCCTCTCCTGGATGAAACTGTCTGTTCTCCTGGCTGTCCATTGTATATTCAAGACCCTTCTCCAGCACTTCAATTCAAAGGCATCAATTATCTTTCTATCATTCCTAGTCATTGTCTCACTTTCTGACGCATAGCAAGTAATTGTGAAGACTATGGCCTGGATTAGGTGCATCTTGGTCTCCAGACTGACATCGTTGCTCTTCAGTAATCTAAAGAGGTCCCTAATAACAGACTTTCCCACTGCAATTCATCCTTTGATTTCCTGACTGCTGGTACCAAGAGTGTTGATTGTGGAGCCAAGTAATCGAAAACTGTTAACAATCTTGTTCTCTTCACCATCTATCATAAGCTGACAGCTCAGTGGTGAGAATCTTTGTTTTCATGATGTTGAGCTTTAATCCATATTGAAGGCTTCAGAAAATTGCATGAGAGTTGATTGCCCATCTTTCTCCTGTGGAGCAGCTGGGGGATTTGAACTGTCTGTCACCTGGGAAGCTGGACTTTATGAAAGAGGAACGTGATATCAGGGTTATGCAGATGACACAACCCTGCTTCCTGAAACTGAGGAGGACCTGAAGGGCTTGTGAATAATGTAGCAATAAACCTGGGTGTGCACAGGTCTGAGTTGTGGCTGTTGGTTCTTTAGGGTATATTCTCAGTAGTGAAATTGCTGGGTCAAATGGTATTTCTATTTCCAACTTTTTAAGAAAATACCAGCCAGCCTTCCATAGTGGCCGTTACAGTTTACATTCCCACCAGCAGTGAGCTCCAGTCTCTCCACAACTGCCCCTGCATTTCTTTGCTGCCCTCTGCTATTGCTGCTGGGTTTACATGATACTTTAAAATGACTCTTTCAAGACCTGAAAATAGTGCTGCAATAAACATGGGCATGAGTTTCATAGGTTCTTGAGTTGGGTTTTAAGTTCAGGTACAATAAACTCAAGAACGTGTTTTATTTTCTCTAGCTTCTGTTTCAATTTTCCTAGGAGTTGCAGGTCTGTTTCAGTTAGCTCTTGGCCTTGTTTTAACTGCTGATAATTGAGCTTCAATTTTTTCATCTTTGGCTTTAGTATTTAGTTGAGTCTTCCTCACCCTGGTGTAAGGGAAGCCAGTACTAAATAATTATAATAAACCAAAGGCTCTTTCAGGATGGAATTCACCCTGAGGCACTAAGGCAATCCTTAAGGGTTTATGGGATTCTTGCATTGTATTTGCTGACCCCTCCCTCCTGAGTCCAGGGGAAAGTTTTCAATAGAAAGAGCTTGGCTTCATTTGCATTGAATTCTTCATAATTTACTTTCTGATAATTTTCAATAATGATCCAGGGAAGCTCAGGTCAGAGAACTGCAGACCCCCTGTTTTTTATGCTCTCTGTTCTAATTCCTGGCTGGCTGTCTCATTATTAATAATTATAAAAACACCTGTGGTCCCATCACTGGCAGCCCTGCACTACAGGACAGACCGTGAAATGTTCATCCCAACCACGAATGGCTCTTCAACTGTCATTCTTGGCATAAATTATAGGATTGTCTAATTCCAAATGGCCAATCCCAGTCTGTCTTAACCCACTAGTGCCTTGGACGCTGATATTGATCAGTTTTTGACAACTTCACAATGTTCCTAGATTCACAAATTCCATAATCCAATTATTAATGTCTGCAGTTGTTTCTCAAGTTGAGGCTTGCCACCTCAGCAAATGAAGGTCCTTCCCTGTGAAAGCTTTCCTCCACGCACGTCCTGAGGGCTCTTCCCCGTGACAGCGGTCCTTAGCACGCGTCCTCGGGGTGCCCACTTTGACTGTCTTCCCACCCGAGGCATGCTGTCCAGCCTGACACCAAGTGATGTGCCAGCGTCATCCACAGGGTCTCGGGGCCTGATTTTGGAAGAGGACCGCCACTCGTGCTTCTCCGCCGGGCAGCTCTGCTGAAGTGTGTATAGCAGGGGTCTCCTGCTGGCATCTGAGACCTTGGGGGCAACTTCCAGCAGCAGAGCAACCCCGAAGGCCCTGAAGTATGGCAAACTGACAGGGGAATGGTGGACAAGTCTTTTAGGCAAAGCTGAGATGTCCCATGACATCATGACCTTTAACTCCTAAACTGATGAACCAAACCCCACAAGTGCTTGGTTCTACATAACAGCCTCAGAATTGTTCTAATCATTGTAAAAACAAAACAAAAATCTACTGTTCACTTTCCAGTTTCAACTTTTCACAAGTATACAACTTACTGACGATAATTTTATTAATCTGCTGTGCAATCCTCCTCTTAATGTAATTTTTCTCATCATTCTATGTTGAATGTCAGTATAACAGTACTCTTCCTGAGGTAAGTATGTGATGTGGTCTCAGGACTGTCAGCCAGGGGACTGCCACCGTGGCTCATGTGTCAAGAGTATGAGGCTGACGCAGGGCAGGGTTCGGATCTGTTGTTCGCAGGGTCGCAGTGGGTTGTTCTGACTCAACAGCACCTTCCAGTGTGGTGTTCACCTGACAGTGAGCCATGTGGCTGTGGCAGCCTTTGTCCCTGGTACATCACGAGTAATACGTACTATACCAGGGTGATGTGTATCATTTGCTAATGCTGTCATTCTTAAATGCTCACCTGCAGATTTGTTGTTGTGTACTGTTAAATCAGATCCGACTAGCACAGGAGGGGATTGCCCCTCCTTCTCCAGGGGGGGAGCATTTGATGGATTTGAACTGTGAGCCTCTGGGACTGCAGCGCAACTCCCTGCCACTAGGCCACCAGAGCTCCTTCACCTGAAGTGCATGTTTCTGTTGTGCAGGCAGTAAGACTCAGGTTTCTAAGAGCAGATTATTAGGAAATCAGCCAGAGGGAAAGTGAAGGATGACCCTGGAGCTCAGGAAAGGAGGACGAGGCCATCATCACACAACTGCTCTGCCGGAGAGATAGCCTTCACAGCCAGGTCACCTCACCCCTTGCTGACGTGCACGCTGCCAGGCACCTGTCAGGAGAGAGAGCAGGTCGTAATTCTTCCACTTTAGTGACATCTTCTGAAAATGTCAATGAAATCCAACTCTTCCATTTCTTCTTCTGTGGCTCCTGTCTTATGGTCTTGTCTAAGAACAACTCCCTATGACCTGAGGTGACAAGATTTGGACTGTGTCGCGTCTCCTGTGGTTTCAGCAGGGTTCCCTTCTGCCTGGTCCAGGATCTTTCACTGGAAAGCCTCTAATGGTACTTAGAATAGCCTCACATGCAGTGAACGTGTCTTCATCAGACAGAATGGTTTATTTCTGGACTCCCCAATTCGACCCTTACCCAAACACCACAACCTCACAGTGACTGTAGTCTGTGTTTTCTGCACTGTTGTAATTTTGATCATCAAATGTTAGGTTTTATCCACTTTGACTGTATGCAGTCCTTGAAAACTTGATGATGGCAGAGTGGTCAAGCTTGTTTCTCCTAGGGGCGCTCTTCTGGAGGTATGTGGGCTGCCTTCAGAGTCTCAGCATCTTAGACCGCCGAAAAGTGGGTGGGTGACGCGCAGATCTTTTTTTTTTTTTGGCTGTGGGCCCTTCAAGATGCCTTCTTGGCCTTTAACACCTTTGCTTTGGCTTCAGTTTTGGGAGGGGCAGGGGCTTCCTTCTTTGTGTTCTTCGTAGAAAGGTGGTTCTTTTGTTTTTCTTACTGTTGTACATTTTCTTCTCCCCTCCGCTTAATGCACCCCTTGTCTAAT